GAGAACCCTAGATACAAAAGTTAACACAAAACAAACTTCTTTTTCGTGGATATTGTTGAGACTGAATAGGACAGCCATTCACTATTGATGTGCCAAGAAGGAGGATCTACCCCTCCTCCCCTCCCTCACCACCCCCTCTTCCTCCCTCCTTCCTCCTCTTCTTCCCCCTCTCCTCACCTACCCCTCCCCCCCCATCTTCCTCACCCCTCCTTCCTCCTCCTCCTCCTCTTTCCCTCAGCTTAAATAATTCTTAGTCGTGTTGAGATACTCTTGTCTGTGTTCCTGTGAGTACGATGGTCTCTGTTTCATTGTTTCAACAGTCGTGTTCTCTCTGTGGTGATAAAGTCTACAGTATTGTGTGTTTGCAGTGAAAGTGATGGTAATTTCCTTGTATTACAGTGATTCGTTGATGATTCGTTCTGTATTTCAATAATTGTATGTTTTGTATTCTATTGATTATTATGTATCTGTGTTTTTTCCAGTGACGATATCTTATTTAAGGCTTTAGTGGCGATATAAGGGTCTAGTGACGATATCTTGTAATTCTGATGTAGTTATCGTAAGTTAATGATATATGTATGCTAATGAATTAAAATATGATAATCTTAATAACATTTTAACTCATAATTATTTTTTTTATAATTGAAATTTTTCCAATTAAGTAAATATTTGATAATCTCGATAATAATTTCATTTGATAATTCCATCCTATTAGTTAAAGGATCTTCATGTGATTTCGTCCACCTATTCTATATTCACCAGAGATTATTCCAACTTGTTGACGTAAAGTTGAGATTATCTGAAAGCATTTTATACGAAGTGGATGTTTATGCTGGCTTTCTTTGTTACTTTTGAGGTTAACCTTTTGTCTCTCTGCATTATTGCTGTGAATGACAAGTTATCTCGGCTGCATTGCTTATTTTTAACGTGACATTTTCAGTAATTGGGTTTTGTGGACGAAAACTGTTGCGTTGGCATTGTGTTCAGGTAGAGTGATTCTTTTGGCATTTTGTTTATTCGTAAACAGATTCTTCCGGCGTGGTGAGAGGTTAGTTGATGTGAAGGACACTGTTTTAGATGTTTGTCTGTCGGTCTGTTTTTTTTTCTGTTTTATGGGGGAACTGCGAAAAGATGAACAAAGTTGAACAAGTTGAACACGGAGTTAAGGCTAAGGACGCCCTGAGGAGACCAACTCACTGTGACTACTTATTTACTTACAGTAACTACATTTTCTTTTCTTACGTGCATTAGCCCACCCCGGCACAGGTCCACTGACCCACATCGGGGCCTGGGGACGAAAATAATAATAATAAGAATAATAATAAGAAGAAGAAGAAGAAGAAAATACAGAACCATAAATCAATACAAAAATTAAGAAACAAAATCAAGAGTGAGAAAATGTTTGTATGTTGTGTTGTCAAAGTAAGAGAAACAATTGAGACTGCAATTGTGTGTAAATGAGGCAGAAAGTCAGCATTTTAGAGATTATTTCAGTAACTTTCTTTAGGTTGAAAATCTGGCCCTTGTATTTTATGTAAAGGAGAGATGTGTAGTCAGATGTATGTATGTATGTATGTATGTATGTATGTATGTATGTATGACAAAGAAAAATACGAATAACTGAAGTACCACATAGCTGAAAAAACATACACACAAATATCAAATATGAACTTAGATAAAAGAAATACACAAATATACACAAAGACTTAAGACAAATAAGAGGAGTATCACAAGGAGAGGAATATTTTTGTGGGTGTGGCAGTCCAACAGTACCCTGGGGGAGGTATATTTACTCTCTGGGCTCTACAAGTACAGTGTGAATAATACCTGGGTTAGTTTCACCGACAGACTGCCACCTCGTGTTTGGATATTGATAAGACTGGTGGTGATGTTGAAAGTTGTGGAAGTGTGGTTTTTTTGGGGGGTAAATCAAGAGGAATTGTTGTGGTTTTTGGAATCAGGAGGAATTGTTGAATTTTTTTTTTGGGGGGGGAAGACTTAAATCAGGAGGCATTGTTGTGGTTTTTGGAATCAGGAGGAATTGTTGATTTTTTTTTGGGGGGGGAAGACTTAAATCAGGAGGAATTGTTGTGGTTTTTGGAATTAGGAGGAATTGTTGATTTTTTTGGGGAGACTTAAATCAGGAGGCATTGTTGTGGTTTTGGAATCAGGAGGAATTGTTGAATTTTTGGGGAAGACTTAAATCAGGAGGAATTGTTGTGGTTTTTGGAATCAGGAGGAATTGTTGATTTTTTTTTGGGGGGGGAAGACTTAAATCAGGAGGAATTGTTGTGGTTTTTGGAATCAGGAGGAATTGTTGATTTTTTTTTTGGGGGGGAAGACTTAAATCAGGAGGAATTGTTGTGGTTTTTGCTGTTATTTATTATATACATTTAAAGAACGTATTTAAAGACTGACTTACCGTATTCAATAATTATCCTTTATTATTCCGTTTTGCAGAAGGTTGGAGACCGGATATTTGGGGATAATTAACTGGATAATTTATGCAGATAAATTATATAATTAATTTTTAATAATCTTTATAGTTTGTTATGAGTTTGGTGATTAGTTTCAGTGATTAAATTTGAATTATCGTAATAATTTTTACGAGTAGATTCAATAATTATGAATTATCTGTATAATGTGTACAAGTTTAATATGATAGATTAAGTGATTAATATTAAATAAGTAGATCAGTTAGATAAGTTTGTTGATTAAGTGATTAATAGTGAATAATCTGCTGTGTGGATTAGTTAAATTATCCGCGCTGTTAAGTAATTTCTTGAGATAGAGGAGAGAGAGAGGATATTTATTATGAATAATTGAAGTATTTTAAGTAATTTATGCAAGTTTGATTACCTAGTTTAAGGAATTACTTAAATGCAAAAGTAGAGTTGATTAGGCAATTAGCGTAAATAGTGGAATAAGGTATTTTTATTAATTAATTATAGTAATGTGAAAAAAAGTAGATGAAGTGATTATTTTAAACATACTAGATAATTAAGAGGACGTATATAATCAGTATTAAGTAATTAGCTTGATTAATCTAGATAATTCAGATCAAGTAAGATAGATTATAATTCGAAGGAGTGTATATTTGAGTAATATAATTAGTCTTGATAATTCACACGTTCAAGTTGACATTTGATAATCATTTACTTGAACGATCCTGATAATTCGAAAGATTTACATAATATATACTCTAATGATCTTAATAATTCGAAATAGACTACTCTGAATAATTTGAATACTCTTGATAATTCGAACTAAGTAACCACTCTACTCTAAAAATAATTACCTTGAAACCGTCATAATAATTTGAACTACTCTGCACGAGAATAATTACCTTGAATAATCTTGATAATTCGAACACGATAGAAGGCATGACAGAACCACATCCCCCTACATAAACACACACTGATAGCGGCATGCACATTCGCCTCCACTTCCACCTAGTACAGTAGCTTGCATATTTTGTGAGATGTGGCAACACTGTGTTTGTTTACATCATATTAAAACTCCCGGAATGGCCCTCAGGAACGTTGCAATAGTAGCCAGATTCAGTATACTAGAAAAATATTCCACAGAAGTGCCACATCTCTTAAAATATGCCAGACTCTGTACTAGGTGTAAGTGGAGGGGACTGTACACGGCCATAGAGAGGTGAGGGATATGCTAAAGGGATTGTGTTTTGTTAGTTCCTGTGACGTTATATTGTCCAGCGTGGCGTTAGAGGAAGGTTGGATGTTTGTGATGGTGGGGTAAAATAATGAAAATGATAATGATGACAATAATGATGCAAATATGGAAGTAATGACAATGATGATGATGATACAAATATGGAAATAATGAAGATCTGACTTAATAATATCAATAATAGTAATAATAACAATAATAATAATGAGAATACTAATAAAATAACTATAATAATAACAGTACACATTTACCTGTACCTCGAACAGGATATGCACTCATCTTCGTCGTTAAATTTAGATGAAGACGACCCTGAAAAGCTTAAAGTCTTGGCTCTCATAATAGCCACTAAAAACATTAACAAAAGGTGATAAATGGTTTGGTACGGAGTGAGAGAGAGAGAGAGAGAGAGAGAGAGAGAGAGAGAGAGAGAGAGAGAGAGCAATCACAATACAGGTAAAGTTTAAAAAAAAAAATCCAATCCCCACAACAAATTCTTCGCTCACCTGATCACAAAAGAGTGACAATTATCCTCTTTTATTGACGTCTAAACATTTTTTTTTTAATTTCGTGTTTTTTTTTCTCGTTCTAGTGTATCCCATTTATTTAATGATTTACAGTACACAAGCCTCGACCAGTGTTTGATGTATGTGTTGAACTCTATACGAATTCTCTTTGAGCTGTCTCGCTAAACATGAAGTGTAAAGCCTTTTTTGGTTAACAGAGAGAGAGAGAGAGATTATGTAGGTGTTGGGTGGTAGAGAGAGAGAGATTATGTAGGTGTTGGGTGGTAGAGAGAGAGATTATGTATGTTTTGGGTGGTAGAGAGAGAGAGGTTATGTAGGTGTTGGGTGGTAGAGAGAGAGATTATGTAGGTGTTGGGTGGTAGAGAGAGAGAGAGGTTATGTTAGGTAGTAAGAAGGAAGGAGAGGGGGAGGTAGGGAGGAGTAGGTAGGGAGTGTGGGAGGGAGGGACGGAGGAGGGTAGGGACAGAGGGATGGAGGTAAGGAGTGTGGGAGGGAGGGACGGAGGAGGGTAGGGACAGAGGTAGGGACGGAGGTAGGGAGTGTGGGAGGGAGGGACGGAGGAGGGTAGGGACAGAGGGATGGAGGTAAGGAGTGTGGGAGGGAGGGACGGAGGAGGGTAGGGACAGAGGTAGGGACGGAGGTAGGGAGTGTGGGAGGGAGGGACGGAGGAGGGTAGGGAGTGTGGGACAAAGGTAGGGACGGAGGTAGGGAGTGTGGGAATGAGGGATGGAGGAAGACATAATCCAGGTGTTGACTGGTTAAGAGGTGGGAGCGACTTACCTTGAGGGATGAGCAGCAGGAGAGTAAGGAGGACGAAACTAAGTGGTCGGTACATAGTGACGCCGTCCACTTACACCTCCGGGCTATAGCTGTTCACTTAAAAAAGTATCTATAACCACTTCAGTAACTTTACACTTTTACGAGTCTCCAGTTTACTTAAATACTTATACCCTCCGAGTTCCTTTTTCTTCCACGTCACTTTTTATTTATTTTCTTTACTTATCAAATCGTCATGTGAGTTATGTGTGCTTTCAGGGGTTGAGGTCGTTCTACAGGTAAGTCTCACCTGGTGTGGCTCGTATCACAGGTTAAACATGTTGTTAAGTCGCTGCTCGTTGTGGGGAGAATTAGAATGTTAGTTAGTAAAGTAATAATGTTGACTTGGTCTTTATTGTTCATATGAGAGAGAGAGAGAGAGAGAGAGAGAGAGAGATCCAAGAAAGACACAAAACACCAGGGGAAAACACACACACACACACACACACACACACACACACACACACACACACACACACACACACACACACACCAGATGACACACTCAGGGCGGTAACAAGACACACTCTCGAGCCTCCTGCTGGACACTGGCGGCTCAAGGAACTTAATTTTGTGGTCTGTTTATTTATTTCTCTCTTTGTTTACCTCCTTCTCTGACTCTCCTTCCATCCCTCCCTCCCTCCTTCCCTCCTTCCTTTAGTCTCTCTCTCACACCGCCTCCTTCCCTCAAACTCGACATCCTCCCCTCCCCCTCTCAGTCCCTCCGTCCTTCCTATCTCCCTCTCTCAATTCCTATCTCCCTCCCTCCTCCCATGTACCTATGAGAAGGTTGATGGCGATTCATTAATTTCCCAGGTCCCTATCCTAACCTAACCTAACCTAACCTAACCTAACTTAACTTAACCTAACCTAACCTAACCTAACCTAACCTAACCTAACCTAACCTAACCTAACCTAACCTAACCTAACCTAACCTAACCTAACCTAACCTAACCCAACCTAACCTAAATTAAGCTTCGTGGTTTTAGTGTGAATATTCAGGTGTTGTTCCGAGGGTTAATTTATCACACCTTGAATTACTATACTTCAGGTGTTTTAGGACCGGCTAAAGGGCTATCGTATTATTATTATTATTAATGTTGTTGTGTTATTATTGTTGATATCGTTTTATTATTAATATTATTACTGTTGTTGTTCTTGTTTTATTATTTTTATCATTATCATCAGTATTATTATTATTATTATTATTATTATTATTATTATTATTATTATTATTATTTAAAATCTATACCACTAGAGACTGCACTACAAAACCCATCAGAGCTTTTGCATTGCTACATCAAAATAAATAACCAGTAATTGCCAACATATTTCTCATCACTAATGGGTCGTATATACTGAATTTTTGAGCTGTGATAGAATGTTGACTCAATTTTTCGTTGACCGAGAGTAGCTGAAAAAGTTTTTCAACCCTGTGAGTACGATGGTTTAACTCTTTGAGAATGGTAGTTTAACCCATTGAGTATGGTGGTTTAACTTTTTGAGTATGGTGGTTTAACCCTTTGAGTATGGTGGTTTAACTTTTTGAGTTTGGTGGTTTAACTTTTTGAGTATGGTGGGTTAACCCTTTCATCAATTTCCCCTCTCCGTCCCTTATCACCCCCCCGCCCCTCTCATCACCCCCTCCCGCTTTCATCACCCTCACATTTCCCTCTCTCATCGCCCTCACCCTCTCATCACCTCCCCCTCTCATCTCCCCTCTCTCTTATCACTTTCCCCCTCTCGTCACTCCTCCCCCATCTCATCACTCTTATCACTCTCCCTCGTCCAACCTCTCCCTCATCCTCTCATCGTCCTCTCCCCCTCTTATCCTCTCCCTCTCATCCTCACCCTCTCACCCTTCTCCCCTCGTCCTCTCCCCTCTCATCCTCACCCTCTCCACCCCTCTCGTCCCTCCCCTGCATCCCTCACCCATCACTCCTCACACCCTCTCCCCCTCTCATCCTCCACCTCCTCTCCCCCTCCTCCTCTCCCCCTCTCCACCTCCTCTCCTCACCCCTCCATCACTCCCCCTCTCATCCTCACCCCTCTCACCTCTCTCTCTCTCCCCCTCTCTCCTCCCCTCTCATCACTCTCCTCTCTCATCCTCTCCCCTCTCCATCACTCTCCCTCTCTCATCACTCTCCCCCTCTCATCCTCTCCCTCTCTCATCACTTCCCCTCCTCATCACCTCCTCCTCTCATCCTCTCCCCCCTCATCCCCTCTCCCTCCTCATCACTCTCCCCCTCTCATCACGTCCACGCCCTCGTCATTCTCCCCCTCTCACCCCTCCCCCTCTCATCATTCTCCCCCCTCTCATCACGTCCACGCCCTCGTCACTCTCACCCCTCTCACCCCTCTCCCATTACTCTCCCCTCATTCTCCCCCTCCTCCTCTCATCATTCTCCCCCCTCATCACTCCCTCTCATCACGTCCACGCCCTCGCTCCCCCTCATTACCTCTCTCCCTCTCTCATTTCCCTCGTCTCTCCCCCTCTCCTCCTCATCATTCTCCCCTCTCATCGTCCACGCCCTCTCATTCTCCCCCTCTCACCATCTCCCCTCTCATCGTCCCCCACCCAAGAATAACAATAAAGTTGGAGTTATCAGTTGAGACGCCCCTCAGCACACCACCTCCCTAGGATGCTGTACAGTAGGTCTTCCATCACTACCTCCTTCAGGAAGCCTTTAGTAGACACAGGGGAGGAAGGGTAGCAGAAGGAGGGTAGTAGCTAGTGAGGGAGGTGAGACTAGCCTTCTACCTCTCTCTGACCTGGTGATATACAGTATATTACTTAAAGACTCTTTGCCATATATCACCAGGTAGAAATATTACGCACTTTTTCCACTACATGCTAAAATAGTTGTGTTTAAGCATTTTTTAGGGGTTGTGGGGGGACTGTGAATGAATATGACAGGTACAGATTATGGTTTATATGATACGAGGAATGCGTATAACTAGTACTTGAAATACGCACAACAGGTGGAAATTACACAGGTGTTATGAATTACAGTACACCTGATTACTAGTCTCTCAGGTGATGATGTATTGAGACACCTGACGTATGATCATTTTTAAATTTTGTATTATAACATTGATACCACGATACTTATACATACCAGTCATTCATACATTGATGGAAGGTTTACTTATTTGTAGAAGGGATAGGCAGTAGTGTCCTTATTTACATAGAGGCAATGTATACATATACTCATATATATACATAGCGGGTAAAAATATGTATACATTGAGGGCAGACATATCCATAGTACTCATATTTATACATAGCGGGTAAAAATATGTATACATTGAGGGCAGACATATCCATAGTACTCATATTTATACATAGCGGGTCGACATATGTACATTGAGAACTATATGGCCATAGTTCGATTTATATATAGATATGTAACATATCCATAGTATATATTTATACATAGCGGAGACTACATATGAGGCACCGAATATCCATATATATATATAGTATCATATGTACATATGTGAGGAAGACATATCCAAGTACTATATTTATACATAGCGGGTAGACATATGTATACATTGAGGGCAGACATATCCATAGTATATATTTATACATAGCGGGTAGACATATGCTACATCAGCTTTACTGACTGGGTGTTCTTCCCCCGTCAGCCTCCCTCTAGTAAAAACTTGTAAATAACGCTGGTAAAATATCATTCGCTTAATTGCAGTTGTACATACATTTCATTCATTATTTTTTTATTATTATTATTTATTTCAGTTACTTTCCATGGATCTATGAATTCATTTTTAGGGTGTTTGTGACGGCAATGTTGTGTTGTGACGGTAGTGTTGTGAAGGATTTGTGTTGTGACGGCAGTGTTGTGATGTGCTGTGTTGTGTAGGGTTGTGTTGTGACGCATGTTGTGTTGTGAGGGCAGTGTTGTGTAGGGTTGTGTTGTGACGGCAGTGTTGTGTTGTGAGGGTGTTGTACGGGTTGTGTAGGGTTGTGTTGTGACAGTGTTGTGTTTTGTGTTGGACGCAGTGTTGTGTTGTGTGAGGGCAGTGTTGTGGGTTGTGTTGTGACTTGCTGTTGTGTGTGACGGCAGTGTTGTGTGGGTTGTGTTGTGACGGCAGTGTTGTGTGTGGTGTTGTGTTGTGTGTGTGTTGTGACGGCAGTGTTGTGTTGTGACTGTTGTGTTGTGTTGTGACGGCAGTGTTGTGTTGTGTTGTGACGTGTGTGTTGGGTTGTGTTGTGACGGCAGTGTTGTGGGTTGTGTTGTGACGGCAGTTTGTGTAGGGTTGTGTTGTGTGACGGCAGTGTTGTGTAGGGGTGTGTTGTGACGGCAGTGTTGCGTTGTGACGGCAGTGTTGTTTTAGGGTTGTGTTGTGACTGCAGTGTTGTGTTGTGACGGCAGTGTTGTGTGGGTGCGTGTCAGTGTGTGTTGTGACGGCAGTGTTGTGTTGTGACGTGTTGTTGTGACGGCAGTGTTGTGTTGTGACGGCAGTGTTGTTTGTGTTGTGACGGCAGTGTTGTTGTGACGCAGTGTTGTGTTGTGACGGCAGTGTTGTGGCGGGGTTGTGTTGTGACGGCGTGTTGTGTAAGCAGTGTCGGCAGTGTTGTGTTTATGTTGTGACGGCAGTGTTGTGTGGGTTGTGTTGTGACGGCTGTGGCTGTCGGTGTTGGTGTGTAGGGTTGTGTTGTGACGGCAGTGTTGTGTTGTGTGTGCGTGACGGCAGTGTTGTGGGGTTGTGTTGTGACGGCGGTGTTGTGTTGTGTGACGGCAGTGTTGTGTGTGTGTTGTGACGGCAGTGTTGTGTTGTGTTGTGAGGGTTGCGTTGTGTGTGTTGTGACGTGTTGTGTGTTGTGACTATGGTTGTTGGCTGTTGTGACGGCAGTGTTGTGTTGTGACCTGTGTGACGGCGTGTTGTGTTGTGACGGCAGTGTTGTGTGTGTTGTGACGGCAGTGTTGTGCCTGGTCAGCAGTGTTGTGTTGTGAGGCTGGTGTTGTGTTGTGACGGCAGTGTTGTGACGGCAGTGTTGTGACGGCAGTGTTGTGTACCAGTGTTGTGTTGTGTGTTGTTGTTGTATCAGTGTGTGATGTGTTGTGAGGCAGTGTTGTGTTGTGTTGTGTTGTGACGGCAGGGTTGTGTTGTGTTGTGACAGTGTTGTTATTGTGACAGTGTTGTGACGACTGTGTTGTGTTGTAGGTGTAACTCGACCTGTTACTACTAAATACTACTACAATACTGCTACTACTGTTACTACTACTACTACTACTGCTACTACTGTTACTACTGCTACTACTACTACTACTACTACTACTACTACTTTTGAAATGGCCTCCAACCTCCCTTTACTACTACTAATCAGCTGACCGTACAGGTGCTCCTCAACGAAATACTGTACCGTCTTATGGGATTTTTTCGTTTTTTTATTATAAATATTGAGTGTTATTGACCTCCACTTGGTTTACATATTGTTGTTACCTTACGGGGAAGTATTTGTGTGTGTGTGTGTGTGTGTGTGTGTGTGTGTGTGTGTGTGTGTGTGTGTGTGTGTGTGTCTGTCTGTCTGTCTGTCTGTCTGTCTATGCCTGTCTGTGTTCCTGTTTTTCTGTCTGTCTGTCTGATTGTCTCACTCACTCACACACTCTCTTTCTCACTCTCTCTCTCTTTCTCACTCACTCACTGACTTTCTCATACAAACATTAGCACTCTAAATATATGTATTGTAAACCGGTACATTCAGAACAGCCTTTTTGGGAGTGAAAATGAGTACCGGGAAAGCTATTGGCAACTGATTAAAAAACTTGATAAGCCGTTCACTTGTACAAATATAAATATATACATATATTGGGGAAAATTACCTGCCTCAATGTTTGGTAATTAATGAGTTACACACTGAATGCTTGATGCTTTATTATTATTCAGTAAAAATGGAAATAATAAAAAAAATGTCCCCTGATGATAAAAGTAGCGGTTCGTCCCCCCTGTTCCACCCCCCTCCTCCCCGTTTCCCCTGTTCGAACCTCCACCTCTTTGACTTCCCCCCCTCTCCCCCCTTCTTTGACTTCCCCCTCTTCCCCTTCTTAGACTTCCCCCTCTCCCCCTTCTTTGACTTCCCCCTCTTCCCCTTCTTTGACTTTCTCCTCTCCCCCTTCTTAGACTTTCTCCTCTCCCCTTCTTTGACTTCCCCCTCTCCCCTTCTTAGACTTCCCCCCTCTCCCCCTTCTTTGACGTCCTCCTCCCCTTCTTTGACTTCCCCCTCTTCCCCTTCTTAGACTTTCTCCTCTTATTTTGACTTCCCCTCTTCCCCTTCTTTGACTTTCCTCCTCTCCCCCTTCTTAGACTTTCTCCTCTCTTCCCCTTCTTTGACTTCCCCCTCTCCCCTTCTTGAACTTCCCCCCTCTCCCCTTCTTTGACGTCCTCCTCTCCCCCTTCTTTGACTTCCCTCTTCCTTCTTAGACTTTCTCCTCCCCTTCTTTGACTTCCCCTCTTCCCCTTCTTTGACTTCCCCCTCTTCCCTTCTTTGACTTCCCCCCTCTTCCCCTTCTTTGACTTCCCCCCCTCTCCCCTTCTTTGACTTCCCCCTCTCCCACTTTCTCCCTTCTTTGACTTCCCCCTCTCCGTCTCCCTCTCCTCTCGCCCTCTCCCCCCCAATTCGGAATAAACTGCTAGTTAATAATAAACTGTTCATGAATTATTTCCTTGTTTCGATAATCTACCGTTAAAATAATTGGTGAATGTGTACCTTTTTTTTTTAATGGGATATTTTTCTCGGAATAAATTAGTGGTGGAGTAAATTGGCATTGATGTTTAGTGGTAATTTGATAAACTCTTGTTGTCATACACTGTCATCAGAATAAACTGCTGTTAAAACAAATTATTAGTAAAAAAAAAAAATAAAACTTACACAAATTACTATTGAAATAAGTTGCTGTTAGACTAGATTTTAACTCGAACTAATTCCAAATTAAATTACTATTGAAATAAACTAGCAGTAATTTATTCCGAGTGGCATTTACGGAGTATAATCGTATTAATTCATCCCGTTGGAGTTTATTTAGTGGTGGGGGTGAGCTTCAATTTAACTGGTTAAATGTAATTAAATAGTATATCTATTTTTTTCTGGATCACATGCAGATTAGACACACCTGCTAATTACACCTGAAGTTTAATCACCCTAACGCTAACCTAGTTTAACTTAACCTACCCTAACTTAACTTAATCTAATCCTCCCAGGTAACATTAAGGTGGTTAATCTTCAGGTGAAATAAGCTGGGGTGTACAATCTTCAGGTGAAATAAGCTGGGGTGTACAATCTTCAGGTGAAATAAGCTGGGGTGTACAATCTTCAGGTGAAATAAGCTGGGGTGTACAATCTTCAGGTGAATAAGCTGGGGTGTACAATCTACAGGTGAAATAAGCTGGGGTGTACAATCTTCAGGTGAAATAAGCTGGGGTGTACAATCTACAGGTGATCTTTTTTCCATGTCAAAATAAATTTCTCGGGGATTTTTTTTATACATTTTTCATAACTTCTTTACGTATATATATAATTGTTATTCATTTTTTGCCACACAGTTACTTATGTTATTAATATTATAAGTGGTAGTAGTTTTTCTTACTCGCTGTTATAAGTAGAAGTGGTACTGCCTCTTAATGGAAAAGGCATGGTACTTATATCATTACTATTACTATTTTTGTAAGTAACATCATTGATGAAACAAATTATCACCCATATCTAGGCTACCAACTTAAAAAAGTAGCTTGATAATACTACTTAAAAGTCACCTGTACACTTAAATAACCCTTTTATATGTAACGAGATTACCTGTTTAATTAAGGTGAGTCAATTGCAGGTCCACTTCACTTTTAATACTTAAACCAAGAAAAGTACAATCTTCATCAGGCTACTGTATAATTTATTTGATATAAGTGAATGATAAGCTCTGTATATATATATATTGATAATGGATAAATTCATAACATATTTTACGGCACTTCTGGATTTAATTAATTACTAAGATGTGATACGTAAATTGAATTAAAAAAAATATATTTGATGTATTTTTTGTGGAGCTTTTGTGTGATGATGATGATAGAATGGTGTAGTTTTATTAAGAGAGTATAATAATTTTTTTATCTTTTTTTACAGTAACAAAAGTACATACGTTGAATGATTTACAAAAGCCCCGCGTAACGTCATTTTTTTTTTTACAGAACTCCATCGTGTTGGTATTTATATTAACAGGAGTACATTTATTATTTACGAAACCTATCGCCTGCTGATGTTTACGAAAGCAGAGTACATTTATCATTTACAAAGGTACCGCGTCATCATCTCATTAACACAAACAAAAGCTCATTAATGATTTACATGAGTATTGCATGACGGTATTTACACAGTTATATATATATTAGGTTATTTACACGTTATTTACACTCAAAAAATGCTGTCTATTTACAAACTGTGGTGTTATCAATTCCTTGTTTATTGTTATTTTTGATTCCTCTTCTGTTTCAATCCCTCGAAAAACTCAGTTAAGTTCCACACACACACATACACACACACACACACAAACAAACAAGAGTTGACCGCACTAGTAAACAAAGCCAAAACTCCCTCCCCCCAAGTCCCACGAGCTTGAAAGAGACATTATCAGTCAAGCCATGAAGGTCAGGTATATTCATATAGTATTATTATTAACTATAAGAGATTGCTATAAATTCCACTACTGAATAAAATACTGTTGATGAAAATTTCTCCTTGACTAAATCCCACAATTCCTGGCCAATTTTCTACCGGACATAAAATTCCATCGCCGGAATTATACCACAGACCAAAAAAATAATAAAAATTCTTACTTCTATAATTTCCTGTTACGTCCTTCATAAAAAAAATGGCTTTGGTTAGTCAAGGGGAAATTTCTCTATGACCTGAGCTGACCTGATCTGATATAAGTTGACCTTTAGTAGGCTGGGGGATTAAGGAGCCTTAAATTGATAGGATTTTGTCCATTGGGAGGTTCATGGCTGTCCGATGGGGTATTGATTGTTTGTCAAGTGAGAATTTGTCCTTCAACCACTGATGTAAATACACTAATTGGCACACACACATATACTGTACACACACACACACACGCAAACACGCACTTATTTTCATACACATATGCACCCTCCTACTGCTACACACACATACACTCACAAACACATACACTGAGACAAACACATACTTATACACTGACGCAAACACACACACACACACACCGCTCATAGACAGGTCGAGAGACGAAGGCCAGAGCAACGAGCAGGAGACGCCACACACCAACACACCCTCACCATCACCACACGTCCGACCCTCGCCACAGTCTTACTGATACTAACTCGACTCTCCCCGCCGCCACCACCTCTCTCCTCTCTCTCTTCCTCCCTCCCTCCCTCCCTCCCTCCCTCCCCTTCCGCCCTTCCCCTTCCTCCCTTCCCCTCCCTTTCTCTCCCTTCCCTGCCCCACGCCCACAACCAGGCCCATTTGTACTCCTGTACCTGGGGACCTGTACTGTATAATCTACCTGCCTATCTAATTAACTGGCCACCAGGTAAGTCATTTAAGGTCTACTTACCTGTGCCTCACCACGATCTAATATACCTATGGATTCGTTATTTCTTTTTTCAATAGCGAGATCACCTGAAGATTAAACACCCTAATGCTACCTGTGGGGATAGTTTAGGTTAGGTTAGGTTAGGTTAGGTTAGGTTATGTTAGGTTAGGTTAGGTTAGGTTAGGTTTGGTTGCGTTAGGTTAGGGTGGTTAGGTTAGATTTGGTTGCGTTAGTTGCGTTAGGTTGGGGTAGTTAGGTTGGGTTGTTGCGTTGGGTTAGGATTGGTTAGGTTAGGTTTTGTTGCGTTAGGTTAGGGTGGTTAGGTTAGGTTAGTTGGGTTAGGTTTGGTTGGTTGGTTAGGTTAGGTTAGAGTTGGGTGGTTCGGTTGGGTTAGGGTGGTTAGGTTAGATTTGGTTGCGTTAGGTTAGGAATTGGTTAGGTTAGGTTTGGTTGCGTTAGGTTAGGGTGGTTGGGTTTTGTTAGGTTAGGTTAGGTTTGGTTAGGTTAGGTTAGGTTGGGTTAGGGTGGTTCGGTTGGGTTAGGGTGGTTAGGTTGGATTTGGTTGCGTTGAGGTTAGGGTGGTTAGGTTAGGTTTGGTTGCGTTAGGTTAGGGTGGTTAATCTTACGGTGAAATAAGCTGGGGGTGGTAATCTTCAGGTGGTCTGGATGTGTTGTTGTTGTCATGTGTAAAGGTAAAGTAATATGAGTGTGTTATAAGGGAAGACGGAGCACCTTAAGGGGTTATGTTAGAGTGTTGTGTTGATGATACCGTGAAGATTGTGTATCATCATCACTGTCGCCATCATCATCATCACTGTCGTCACCATCATCATCATCATCACTGTCGCCATCACCATCACTGTCGCCATCACCATCACTGTCGCCACCATCATCATCATCATCACTGTCGCCATCATCATCATCATCATCACTGTCGCCACCATCATCATCATCATCATCATCACTGTCGCCATCATCATCATCACTGTCGCCACCATCATCATTGTCGCCATCATCATCATCACTGTCGCCACCATCATCACTGTCGCCACCACCATCATCATCATCACCACTGTCGCCATCATCCTCCACTGTCGCCATCATCATCATCATCATCATCATCATCATCACCACCATCACCATCATCACCATCACCATCATCACCATCATCATCATCACTATCATCACTGTCGCCACCATCATCATCATCATCACTGTCGCCATCATCATCATCATCATCACTGTCGCCATCACCATCACTGTCGCCATCATCATCACTGTCGCCACCATCATCACTGTCGCCACCATCATCATCACTGTCGCCACCATCATCATCATCATCACTGTCGCCATCATCACCATCATCACCATCATCACCATCACCATCATCATCACCATCACGACCATCATCATGATCACCATCATCACCATCATCACCGTCATCACCATCATCACCATCACCATCATCATCATCATCATCACCGTCATCACCATCATCATCATCACCATCATCATCATCATCCACCATCATCATCATCACCATCATCATCATCACCATCATCACCATCACCATCATCATCACCATCACGACCATCATCATGATCACCATCATCACCATCATCACCATCATCACCATCATCACCATCATCACCGTCATCACCATCATCACCATCACCATCATCATCATCACCATCATCACCATCATCATCATCATCACCATCATCATCATCACCATCCTCCTAAACCCTGCCGCCCTCTTACTCACCAAATCTTCCTTACTTTCATCACTCTTCTAGGCCGCCCACTCATTTCCTGGCTCTATTCTTATCTCGTGGGGTCCAGTGGCTGCTCTCCCTGGCTTACTGCGCTCATGCTAAAGTGTACAGTCATGTGTCTCATAGGTCGCACACCATAGGAAAAATAATTAGATTTTTTTTTTCAGGTGAGGGAGTAAAAAAAAAATCAACAGGTATGGTAAATTAATTAGCACCTGTATACCTGGATTGTTGATTGATTGAGTTGTTAGGGAAAGGTATGTGTGGCATCTTGGTTTTCGTACGTGGATATAAAATTGATTGTTTTTTCCGATGGTGTTTAATTTCACACACACACACACACACACACACACACACACACACACACACACATATATATATATGCTGATATACCAAAGAAAGAAAAACACGAAGTTCCCAAGCGCTTTCGTGTAATTCCCATCTTCAGGGGTGATACAGACTAAAAGTACAAAGCAAGGTGTATATATACAGAGGAGGTGAGAGATCCCCAATGGTCAGGTATTAGGTTATCAGCATATACCTAGATCACGCACCTACAGTGATTTGCGCGTATATATATATAGCCAGTTAGTGAGATGGGTCAGGGGTAACTAACCAAGAGCCTCACCTTGGGTTGAACTGCTGCCGCCTGTGTCTTCATCATCACACAAGAACAAGGGAAAGAAGACGTAAGTTTTTAATTAACCGGAAAAAATTAATTATCCGTCAGGTAATTTAGGCGGGCAGGGTGTTGTTGGTGGGTGTGTGTGGTGTGGCAGGTGTGTGGGCAGGTGTGGTGTGGCAGTGTTGGTGTGTTGGTGTGGCAGGTGTGGCAGGTGTGTGTGTGCAGGTGTGGCAGGTGTGTTGGCGGTGTGTTGGTGTGGCAGGGTGTGTTGGTGTGGCAGGTGTGTTGCAGGTGTGGTTGGTGTGGCGGGTGTGGGTGTGTTGGTGTGGCAGGTGTGGCAGGTGTGTTGGTGTGGCAGGTGTGTTGACAGGTGTGTTGGTGTGGCGGGTGTGTTGGTGTGGCGGGTGTGTTGGTGTGGCTGGGTGTGGCAGGTGTGTGGTGGTGTGTTGGTGTGTTGGTGTGGCAGGTGTGGTGTGTTGGTGTGGCAGGTGTGTGTGTGGCAGCGTGTGTGGGTGTGGCAGTTGGTGTGGGTGTGTTGGTGTGGCGGTGTGGCGGGTGTGTTGGTGTGGCAGGTGTGTGGTGTGGCAGGTGTGTTGGTGTGGCGGTGTGTGTTGGTGTGGCGGTGTGGCGGGTGTGTTGGTGTGGCGGTGTGGCGGGTGTGTTGGTGTGTGCAGTGTGGCGGGTGTGTGGTGTGTTGGTGTGGCGGTGTGCGGGTGTGTTGGTGTGTGGCGTGTGTGTGTTGGTGTGGCAGTGTGTGTGGGTGTGGCGTGTGGTGTGTTGGTGTGGGCGGTGCGGCGGTGTGTTGGTGTGCAGGGTGTGTTGGTGTGGCGGTGTGGCGGGTGTGTGGTGTGGCGGGTGTGTTGGGTGTGTTGGTGTGGCGGGTGTGTTGGTGTGGCGGGTGTGTTGGGGAAGACAAAGAGTGTTGGTGATGACCGAGCTGTTGTTTCCTGCATCACAAATTGTAATTAAACATTCTCGTGGAGAAAATATCATCTTTAATGACGACAGAACTAATATTGCTAATATTAGCGCCTCTGACGGCTCTCATACCGCGGTGTCCAGCGTCCCCTGCTGACAATTGCCCCGCCTGCGGCCAGTGTCGGGCGCCCTGTCCTAAATTTAGTAGTCTGAAGATTCCTCGATAGTGAGCAGCGTCCTCGGGTAATATTGTGAATCTGAATATACTTACACAATGTTCTTGGCTGAAATAAACAATTCTGAATGTTCACACATACACCAATAAAGCACAACGCTGCTTGCTAACAATAAAAGACTAAAAATCTTGTTAGCTTCACTTGCTAATATTAGCATACATGAAGCTCACCAAACAACAGTGTGGGCCAGTATCAGATGCGCTAATATTAGCTCCCTTGATGGTCCTTCATAACAACGTATACATTTATTTCACTAACGCTGAACATTTCACTCTGGTCCTTCATAATTAACTATTCTCTTTCAGTCATAAGTTTGTCTCTCAGCTCTTCACCTGTCTTTGTCTTCAGTATATATATATATATATATATATATATATATATATATATATATATATATATATATATATATATATATATATATATATATATATATATATATATATATATATATATATATATATATATATAATATTAGCCCTTTGAATTTACTTCCTGAACGCTGAAAGTAATTCGCTTGGGTAGAATCGGCGTCAAAATGTTTATTCACAAAGATCAAAGCAGACATTTGTAAACAGATGTAGGTACAAGACTCAAGTAGTGTGACTGCTTCTCCTGGAATTGGATTACAAGCTCTGGTTCAGGTACAAGCTCTGGTTCAGGTACAAGCTCTGGTTCAGGTACAAGCTCTGGTTCAGGTACAAGCTCTGGTTCAGGTACAAGCTCTGGTTCAGGTACAAGCTCTGGTTCAGGTACAGTAAATGTTGTATGCTCACTTAGGTCATAGAGGTGATACTTTAACCTAAATTACGGATGACGTTCCTTAAACATACGAAAAATATTTTATTGCGTAACACAAGACACACAGTTGTCCCCCCCACCACCGATTGACCCCAGTTGTCCCCCCTACCACCGATTGACCCCAGTTGTCCTCTCCCCTACCACCGATTGACCCCAGTTGTCCCCCACCACCGATTGACCCCAGTTGTCCCCCCACCACCGATTGACCCCAGTTGTTCCCCTACCACTGATTGACCCCAGTTGTCCCCCTACCACCGATTGACCCCAGTTGTCCCTCCCTACCACCGATTGACCCCAGTTGTCCCCCTACCACTGATTGACCCCTAATTGTCCTACCACCGATTGACCCCAGTTGTCCCCTACCACTGATTGACCCCAATTGTCCCCCCTACCACCGATTGACCCCCAGTTGTACCGATTGACCCCAGTT